TCTGGTCCCAGCCTGGACCAGCATGGAGTCCCAGGCAACGCATTCTGGTCCCAGCCTGGACCAGCATGGAGTCCCAGGCAACGCGTTCTGGTCCCGGCCTGGACCAGCATGGAGTCCCAGGCAACGCGTTCAGGGCCCGGGTCAGAATCTTTTCAACTCTTTTGACCATGGGGCCTCAAATCTGGACCGCCAATTGCCGTTCTGGTCGGACGGCGCAGATGGGGACCGACTTGGGTTGTAAGACGGCCGAGCACACCATTTAGGAGAGGCCGGCCTAGAATGCAAAATGATCTTGCAGTTTCTCAGTGGGGTGTAACTGTAAGCGGGTCGTTTTTCTAATTTTTCCCTAAGTACTGGGGCCTTTAACCGGTAACTGAAACAGGCCTAGTCCGACAGGGACATTTCTGCAAATTCCTAAAGACCGGTACTACTGGTCCTCAACCGTGTCCAGGCCTAAACTGACCCTTCGCTACGGCAAGGGAGTTGAAGGAACTAGTGACTGTTCGCTACTTCAAGGGACTAGTGACTATTTTGGTGACTCTTCGCTACTGCCTGGGACCGGTGCTGCCGTTAGTATTAGCTGTCTAGAACTATAAATAGATTTAGGTCGTAGAGGTACTGGTCTTTTGACCTGTTGGTCTTCAGTGGGCGAACTGCTGTTCGTTGTTGACGCCGCCAGGCTGCTGGAGCAGCGCCATGGCTGGGTGGCCTCTGCCCGAGTTATACTGCAGCACTGAAGAATGCGCTTCAAGCGCCGACCCAGGCAACATCGTATCTGTGATGTTGGGGTTAGGCACTGCCATATCTTGTTCTTCACGGCAGCTGTTCTTCGTCTTCATCAAGTTGGGGCTTCCTTCTTCATCGTGGGGCTGGTGCTGTGCATCTGGAGGGGTCTCTGACCCGGCGCTGGGCCATCTGAGCACTCGGAGGCTGGGCGCTGCAGCTCTAAGCTGAGCGCCATAGCCAGAGGAGGTGCTAGGTGTTCGGAGGTCCACAGGAGGGTGCTGGTGGTCTGCAGGTTGGGCACTGTGTCTTGAAGATGGGCGCCCTAGCCGGGAAGGTGGCGCTTGATGAGGGAGGAAGGAGGAAGGCTCCTAAAAGCTTATAGAAGCTCTGTTTAGTTTGCTAGAGCTTGTGGAGCTGATTAAAGTGGAGAGAGATGGGGGACTGTGAATTGAGATTTCATTCAATTCTACGCGAGTTCTGAGCTTCCGCCGTGCATATTCCCGTCCGGTTTGGTGTGAATTTTCTCTCCGAGTCTTCTTTGTCACCTTGCATGTGTATGGGAACATGTTGATGCTCTGTTGGATGTTGTTTCAATCGGTCACATTCAGGCAGTTAGTATAGTCACCTTGAAACAAGTTGAAGGTAGAGTTTGTGCTATTGTCGAGATAAATAGAGTGCTACTAGTGTGTGTATACTGAGCAACACAACAGGCTCGAGCGGGCTAGTGGCCAGCATAACAAAATTAGAACGTCGTAACAGTTGGTAGCGGAGCTGAGCAAACTGCTGACCGTCTTCTTCCAGGAGGCTGCGGGAGACTTTGGGGAATTGCTCTCTGTGAGTCTCTGCTATCTTCAACTGAAGTTATCTAGGGAAGGAGGTGAAAGGTGGTGTGTGAGTGTTGGGAATGGTGAAGTTCAGAGTGACTACCGTCTTCACCCGAATAGAACACCTGGTCATTATAGCTGTATTTGGCACAACTTTCAGCCCAGATACGGCGATAATTACCCGGCGTTCTATTCGGGTGAAGACGGTGCAGATTCTTCTGAAGTGGCTAAGTTCAGGGTTGCAACCAGGGTTGCACACCCGCCGACCGCCTACCCCGACCGCCGCCCGTTTTGCAGCCTACCGGGGTAGGGTGGACCGGTCGGCGGTCTGCCGACCAGTCAGTAAATAGTTGTCCACTTGAAAAGAAAAAAAAAACTGACCATGGGGCTGTACTGCTCTTGCTCAGTACAGCCCAAATCCGCTGAGAAACTTTTGAGGAGGGGCGGGAAGTATAGGGGGTGTACGGGGGGATATAGGGGTGGTATAGGGGGTGTTGGGGGGGGGGGGGGGGGGGGGGGGGGGGGGGGGGGGGGTATGAGGGTGTTGGAGGGGTGTATGGGGGTGTTGGTGGGTCTATAATTGGGGATTATGGACTGCCCCCGCCCCCCCCCAAAAAAAAGATTATTATTATTATTAATTTTATTAATTTATTATTTTATTTTTTTTTTGGGGGGTGCCGAGCAGCCGGGCGGTCGTCTGGTCAGCCGACCAATCAAGGGGCGCCGACCGTCTGCCTGTGCAACTCTGGTTGCAACCCTAAAAATAAACTGTCAGCAAAGTTTAGGGTTCCCTAACCCCAAACTAGTGAGGCGCCTCACCTATTAGGGTTTCATCAACTCTGGTCGGCAGCCAGCCGCTGGGTGTTTGTTCCCCCGCAGAGAAGCTTAGGGTAATTCTACATTTCCATGCAATTCTTCATCCAGAGGAACGACTTTCGGGAGATTCCAACGGGCGGACCCGAAGGAAGATTGATTTGAAGAATCAGGATTGAACCTGATCGCGCACTAAGTCATCTGAAGCCAGTGAAGCCCTGCGGACTGGTTTTCTGCCTGATCCTGCTGCTGCTGCTATTGGAAAAAGTTCTGCTTGTCGCTGCAGCTTCTATCAAGATTACAATTCGTGAGGTCGTTCCAATCTTTTTTTTTTTTTTTTCCTGGGTCATCGATTAGGGTTGTGTTTGATGAATGCAGAGTCTAAGGAAAAAAAAAATAGGTTTCAGAGTCAATGACTGTTCCTTCTCTGTCCCTGACCTAAATTCTCTGAGTCTTCCATCTAGCCCATCATCTACTTTTTTCTTTTTTCTTTTCTGTCTTGAACCTCTACTACTTCTGGACGTGCACTGCAGGTTCTGATCATGAAATCAGGGTTTCTGTCCAGTAGGGTCTGTCCGGGATAGAGGCCTTGGACTTTTTTTTTTACTTTTTTTTTTTTTTTTAATGGGAAACCTACTTATCGAGGTGATAAGAGCATCCCCGATAAGTAGATCCCGACGTCGAAGGCTCCATCTATTGGTGGGGAGCTACACCTGCTGGAAATCGGGTCCTTGCACAA